CCCCCAAAAAGTAAAAAAAAAAAAAAAGAAAGCAAAGGTGGCACTTAGTGAATTGACCCAAGCTGTGGTGTTTTCATTTGCCCCCTGTACATGTAAGAGCTAGACAGTAATTAAGGCCAAAGAATAATTGATGCATTTGGATTTTGTTAGTAGAGAAGAATATTGAATATATCACAGACTGCCAGAAGAATGAACAAATCTGGCTTGGAAAAAATGAAACCCAGAAAGCAGACTCCTTAGAAGTGAGGATAGTAGGAGGTTACCTCACATACTTTAGATGTGTTTTCAGTGGACATCATGCTTTACAAAGTAGAGGGTCGGTGCAAAAACAGAAAAGCCTTCGGTGAGATGGGTTGGCCCAGTGGCTGCAGTAATGGGCTTGAGCGTAGCAACAGCTCTGAGGATGGTGCAGGGCCATACGTGGTTTTGTCCTGTTTCACATGGACTTGCTATGAACCTGAACCAATTGGGTGTCATCTAACCACAGCAGTGTACCCACATGTTGTGGCTAGAGGCTGTCATATTGGACCTATGCAGTTCTAGAGACTTGCCTTAATGGGTTTAATTTTTTGGACCAGTGTCCTTCTCGATCCTCTCTTTATTTTGGTCGGGCTAAACTACTCACTCTTAAACTCCTTGCTCTGGAAATGACTCCTTTGTAAGGCTCAGGACCCCAAAGGTTGTATTGCCTGGACAGCACCTTGTGTGGGTGCCCTGAAACAATAGCCAAGTATGTATTCATCACCATTAGCTATGAATGTGAACTTCAGGAATATTTACTTTAATTCCAGGATTCTAAAATACAGAATTTGTTAGCCCTACCTTTTAAAGATACCCTCTTTACCTCTATGTTGGGTTTTTGTTTGTTTATTTGTTTTTACTTTCTCTGGACTTACTCCATCTGCATTCTGTCAGGTGGAATGAGTGGCCCATGTGTGGACACCTGATTTTGCAATTGAGATGAAGATGTAAGTAAGTTTGAAAGCATAAACCCCTTGCAGCAATAGGAGAAGATATATGGCTATTTACATTGTGAATTTCTCTTCAACCCCACACACTGAGGCAAAGGCTAATCAGCTCCACTCCATAAAATCCAGTCTTTGTGGAAGCAAGGAGCAAACTGCTGAGACTCACAACCATGTGCATGAATCTTAAGGGGGTTCTACTCATTGAAGCAAACCAGTGTCACACAACCACTCCCTAGACAGACTGGAAGGACAGTGTAACAGAGATGGGAGGGTGCTGGAGTCAGCAACCACAGGCTGTCTCTGAGGGGACTGTTACGTCCTGCCTGCTGGACACACAGGTCCACATGTGCTAACACAAGGCCCAGGTGAGTACAGGTAGGACCAGGGAAGTGTTTGGAAACTCTGACTTATATTTGATACATGTATCATATCTCCCAGGCAGATTCTCAAGCCTTAAAATAGTAAAAACTTGTGATTTCTAAATATAAATTATAAAAGTTTCCAGATAAACCAGTTTGGCCAGTAGCCACTTAAAAGTCCTGGTCATTAGAATTCTTCTGATAGTGAAGAAAAGGTCAGTGATGAGGGTCATTTCTTTCCGCACTTTACTAAATTTTTTTTCTACATTCAAGTTTCCAAATGAAAAGCATATGTGCTCTCTCCATTGGGTAAAATTAAACCTTTTTCATTTTACTTTTAGCTCCCCCAGAAGTGCTCCCCACCCCCTCCTATTTGTAATCGACTAAATATAAAGAAAACTGCCATAAGAAGATAAGTAAGGTTCCTGAGGATGGTGCAAGCACCGGGCAGAGTCACTAGGTGGCGACACCCGCCACCTCCCCAGGGTCAAGGAGGCGTGTTTGGGGTGGTTCTCCAGGGTTTCCACAGGGCAGCACTTGTCATAAACTCCCAGGAACCCACTTCCAGAAGCCTCTACTCTGCGAGCTCCTGGGCTGTTATGGGATCTGTGAGCGGCTTATCATAGCTCTCTGTGCATCCCACTCCTCGGCCAGAACTATCAAAGAAGGCATTGCTACTTAGGAGTTTGTTTATTTTTTAAGTCAAAGATGAAACCTAAAACAAATGAACCATAAAACTTGTTTTTGTTCATCATCCCACGGGAGCAGTTGGTGATGTGGGGTCATCTGTGCAGCAGCCCTCCTTGCATGTTTCCAAAACACAGCGCCAGGAGCCTTCAGTGGGAAACCCTGGAGGAAGAGGAGCATGCTCGAGACCATTGCATGCACTTGGGCTTGAGCTCCGGTATTGGGAAGCATGTACGAATGGGAAGCTTCTTAAGAAGAGATGGTGCTATTCCACATTTTTTAAGATGCATGACTATTTTCTTGGAATTCATACACTGTTTATATCCCTCGGATAAAATGGGAAATCCCCTCTGGCTTATAAAAGTTGAACTCTCTCTCCTTTAGCCGGGCCAGCTATTCCTTCCGTTGTGGCGTATCCAAAAAGGAGTCAAACGAGCGCTACAGATAGTGACCTTAAAGAAGATGGGGTCCCCACCCGGAAGTCAGGTGGCAGTGTCGCTGGAGGAAAGGGGATCGCTCCAGCCAGCCCCATGCTCGGCAACGCCAGCAACCCCAACAAGGCAGACATCCCTGAGCGCAAGAAGAGTTCCACGGCCCCGGGGGTGAGTACTGCGGCCCACTTCCTGCTGGCTGGGCGGGGTCAGCAGGACCCAGGTGTCTTTCGCTCCTGGGTTGTCCTCTGGCTGGAAAACCTTCCCAGCTGTGCCTCCAGGGCTGGCAGTTAGCCTCTCAATTGGGCCAGACCTTGAAAGGTGGGAGCGCTTCAGTGAGAGTGGAGGCTGGCAGTGTAGCCACAGACCCTCCAGTCGTCTCCTGAAAGGAGCACTAGAAGGCCAGACTGCTCCCAGGCCAGGGAGATGCTGTGTTGGCTGAGCATTGGACTGGTAGCCACTAAGTCGGCAGTTCAAACATGCTAGCCACTCGGGGCAGGGAAGATCAGGCTCCCTGCACCTGTAAAGACTTACAGCCTCAGAAACCTGTGCAGGATTGGTAAGAGTTGAGAACTAGCTCAGCTACTAATAATAATCACCACTCGTGATACTGTAATTTAGTGTGAAGAGATTTTATAAAACCAAGTATCCGTATAAACTAGAATATGCTACATTTAAACTATCACGTGTTGCTCTACCATTAAATTGATAATAAACTGTGACTGTGCATTCTGAAGGATCTGCTAGGGGAGAAAGTACGTGGAGAGAGTGACACCATGTGTGATATCCCCAAGTGACACCCTGCCCTGCCTTCCTCGACTAGCTGCCACCCCAGTGCAGAGCCCAGGGAAGCCTGCTCCTCTCTGAACTCTCTCATGCTTCCTTCAGGGCCTTGGAGGCCAGGGCTACATACAGGTGCCAGGAAGTGTGCCAGCCCCAGCCCTTGGCCTGCTGCTCAGAGCAAGTCCTGGTGTGAAAGGACTCTGCCTCCAGGTGCCCTGGAGTGTGCCTAGGGCACACTTCACTTTGCCCACTGGCATTTAATGACATTGTCAGAGAAGGCTGAGGACACTCCGCCTTCACCACTCAACCCTGTCGCTCCACTTCTCTCCATGCCCTTTGGAGATCATGTCCCCATGGTCTCGGTCACCTTTGATCTTCAGTATATGGTCCTCTCCTGCCTCCCTCAAGGGCATAGTGCCGTGTCTGGTTACAGTCCCGTTGTCTTGTCAAATCCCAAGGTGTTCCCTCTGCCCTTCCCTCTGTGCTCGCAGTGTGTGCGGAGTCAGGCTCTGGCAGAGAGCAGAGCTGCTGGCTTACTGCCTCGTCTGCAGGTTAGGGTGGCCCCCCCATCATGTCAGCCATAGCCTGGGACAAGCTGTGCCCCACAGGGTTTTTCAGGGGTGGGTTTTGGGAAGTAGATCACCAGGCCTTGCTTCCAAGACTCCCCTGAGTGGAGCCAGCAGCCAAATGCAAGCAGGCGAGTACTATCATTACCACCCAGGGACTGCTGGAGCACCATCTTCACTAATGTCACCTTTAGAGAGTATTATTTGCATGGGTTAACTAATCATTTATAATTTTCCTAAGACCAACGGTTTAAAAATTCATTTTCATAGAGTAACGCAGCATCTGGTGGAATGACGAGGCGGAATACTTACGTTTGTAGTGAAAGAACTACAGCTGATAGGCATTCGGTCATTCAGAATGGAAGAGAGAACAGGTAGGTATGGGTGTACCTGTTTGCAAGGAAATTAGTTTTTTTCCAAGTGAACCGGGCTTTTATTATCATAGTAATTCCGTTCTCAGCTGTAAGTTTTCTCACAGATAGGTTCAGTTGAATGCTGGTTTACAGTGAGATTCCAGGATTCTGTGTACAAACTCCCCCCAGCCCCCCGGCTCCCCTTCATCTTCATAGCTGAGGGGTTGGGTGAATCCAGAGTGTCCAAGAGGAGAGTGGTGCTTGAGGGGGTGGGGGGTGGCGCCAGGTTAAAGGTCAGATTACCAGTCCTCAGAAAGGGCTGCGTGGGCAGGCTGGTGTTGGGGGAAGGGTTTGATTAAAGCAGTGTGCCTCTAGAACTTGTTTTCCAGTCTACAGGCCATTCTGTTCTTCTCTGCTACCTAGAGAGAGATCTGGGGGTGATGACGTCAGACCTTACTGAGAGTTGTAAAGTGAGATTTGGGTTAGTTCAGAGGTCATGAGGTAGAGTTCGCTGGGGTGGTGGGGGGGGGGGGCAAAGGAAAGCAAGGAGTCTAGTCTTGAGAGAGGAAAAGCACGTTCTTAAACGCACCCTGTAGGGAACTGGCCGGAGAGCAGGCTAGTGTGTGTTGCACTGGCGGAGCTCTGTGGAGGCTGCCCTCGCCGCGGGTCTGCCAAACCCCCAGGATACGTGGCCTCTGCCCTGCCAATGTGGGGAGCAATGGTGGTTTCACTCTGGATGGAACTGTGCTCTGGGAAGCCTGTGGCCCCAAGAGTTGAGTTTGGAAGAATCCAGAGGATGCCAGGCCCAGGTGAGGGAGGGCATAGTGCACCTGCAGGGAAGAGACAGCAGGGGAAATGGGACAAGGGTGCTGATGGTATGGACAGAGTACAGAATCACACTCCATCCTCAAGATGCTGAGGTCTGCAGGGCACCTGGCACAGGAACATGAGGTCCAATTTTTGCTTAAGCTGTACATCCTCTGGTCATGGGCAGCCATTGAGGCTAGCTGAAGAAGAAGATCCTGGGGTAGTGGAGGGGTGGAGGGGTTGCACAGGCTGCTCGGTGCTCTGCGGGTGTGTGAGTGAGGCAAACAGGCCGGATGGGTCCCATTGGTTTCTGTAGGAAGACCCAAAGAGTGCACCGAGTCCTAGATCCAAGCCTGTGATGATCTGGGAGGGTGTGGTGTGTGTGTGTATGATTGCAAGTGTGTGGTGGCCTGGTTCTGTGTGTGTGTGTGTGTGTGTGTGTGTGTGTGTGTTGGGGTTTCGAATTATGATGATTGTGATGATGCCCAGAACTGACAGGTTTTTCATTCTTTTATTATTAAAAGATCATTTTACCGGGGGCTCTTACAACTCATAACAGTCCATATATCAGTTGTTTTTTGTTTTGTTTTTAATCTTTTTATTGGCGGTTCATACAACTCTTATTACAGTCCACATGTACATCCACTGTGTCAAGCACATTTGTACATTTGTAGCCATCATCCTCAAAACATTTGCTTTCTGTGTGAGCCCTTGGTATCGACTCCTCATTTTCCCCCTCTCACGCCGCTCCCGCCTCCCCCACACATCACTTGTGTCAAGCATATTTGTACATATGTTGCCATCATTATTTTGTAAACATTTACTTTCTATTTTAGCCCTTGGTATCAGCTCCTCTTTTTTCCCTCCCTCCCTCCCCACCTCATGACCCCTTGATAAATTATAAATCATTATTATTTTCATATCTTAGAACATCCACTATCTCCCTTGCCCCACAGTTTCTGTTGTTCATCCCCCTTGGGGGGTGGGGTTATGTGTCGACCGTTATGATTGGTTCCCCCTTCCTCTCCTCGTCTCTCCACCGTCCCTGTACCCTCCTGGTATCGATGCTCCCATTCCTGTTCCTGGGCTCTGAGGTCTTTCATTCTTTTGTGATGGGTCATCTTGAGTCTGGTGCCTTCATCTTGAAGGCATCGGTGCCTTCAGTCCCAGCACTGAGATGCAGCCATTCTGTCTGTAGTGCTCTGCCGGTGAACTGCAGCTTCTACCTGCTGCTTGTACTCTGTCTCAGCAGATGGCTGCCTCAATTCTCGCTCTTACTCATTTTCGCTTCTAGAAAAAGTTGGGAGTTCTGTTTAATTTCTTAGGACTCGCCTTGTGGGCTTTTGTGTTGATTGCTAGTTGTTGTTAAGTGCCATCGAATCGGTTCTGGCCCATAGCAACCCCGTGCACAGCGGAACGAAACACTCCCCTGCCCTACGCCGTCCTCTCAGTGTTCCTGTGCTTGAGCCCATCATTGTAGCAACAGTGTCAGTCCATCTCCCTGAGGCCTTCCACTCCATCCCTCCCCTGTGTTTTACCAAATATAATGCCCCCAACAACTGGTCTCTCTCAACATGTCCAGAGTACCATATATACTCACGTATAAGCCGTTTCAGCACATTTTTATTGCAGTTTTTGTGGTAAAACTAGATGCCTCGACTGAGGCGTTCAGGTTGGCTTACACTCGAGCATATACGGTTCGTAAGACGAAGTCTCGCCAGCCTTCCCTCTAAGGGGCACTCTGAAGAGGTCCTGGGATGCAGATTTATCCAGTGTGACCCATCTTTTGACTTCTTGGATACTGTTTCCATCACCGTTGATTATGGCTCCAAACAAGACAAAACCCTTGACAGCGTCAATATCTTCTCCATTTATTATGATGTTTCCTTTCAGTCTCGTAGTGAGGATTTGGTCGTCTTTTTCGTGAGTCGTCGTCCGTGTTGATCGCTGCAGTCCTTGGTCTTCATCAGCAAGTGCTTCAGGCTCTCCTCACTTTCAGGAACCAAAGCGGTTTTGGCTGCATATTGCAGGTTGCTAATAAGTCTTCCAATCCTGATGTCATGTTTTCCATATCATCTAGCTTGTATGGTGATCATCTCAGCTTACAGGCTGAAGTGAGTTTGATGAGAGGATGCAATCCCAATGCACACCTTTCTTGACTTAAACCTTGCAGTATTTCCTTGTTCTAGTTTCACAATTGCCTCTTGATCCATATATAAGTTCCGAATGAGCACATTGAAGTGTTCTGGAATTCTCATTTTTCTCAAAGTTATCCATAGTTTATTATGGTCCACTCATAGTTAATAAAATTGCGTCATCAATAAAGCACAGATATTCTCTTTGAACCAAGATTCATCTGACGTCAGCAATGATATCCCTTGTTCCACGTCCTCTTCTGACTGGGGCCTGAACCTCTTGCAACTGGCTTCCCATTAATGGATGGCTACACCGTATTTGGGTAATCTGTAAATGAGTACCAGCATGCATTAAGAGTGATGCTATTCTGTCGCTCAGGCATTCTGATGGGTCACCTTTCTTTGCAGTGGCACAAGTCAGGATCTCTTCCAGTCAGTTGGCCGAGGTTTCCTGGCATAGGCAAGTGAGTGCTTCGTCAGCTGTTGAAACATTTCAAGAGCATTCCGTCAACTCCTGGACCCTTGTCATCTTGTTTTGGGCTAGTGCTTTCAGATATGCTGGTTTTCTGACTCTAGGTCTTTGCATGTTTCATTATAATATTTGGCTTTGTCTTCTTGAGCTGCCCTTTGAAGTTTTCTATTGAACTCTTTGACTTCCATGTGCCTTAGCTTCTCCACGATGAAGAGCAAGTCTCAGAGTCTCTGCTGACGTCCGTGTTGTAGTCCTGTAGGACAATAGAGCTACTCCGTAGGGTGTTAGACAGTCTCACCGTGGGACCTACAACTCAACTTGCAGCCGCAGCCGGCCACATAATCACTGGGCTACTGGGGCTCCTTGGTGGGTCTCTGCAGTGGCCATTGTTGTCAGCTTGCTGGATGTCCTTTAGCGGCCCCAGCCGAGTGGTGTGCGATTTCCTGCTGAGACATCAGTGGGGGCTTCTGCTTGCACCGCCCACTTATGTGGTCTTATGCTCTCACCTTTAAAGTTAAGGATCCTGGAGGTGAGTCCTGTGGGTAGCTGCTCTAGAACCCTCAGCAGTGTCAGAGAGCGTAGTCCTCTGGAAGGATGCAGATGGAAAAGCAGGTGTTTTCCGGGGGACATGTGGCTCTGTCCTTCCCAACTGGTGTGTGCAGAGAACAGGTCACTCTGTCTATCCCAGGCAGGCAGAGGGGTTGACTTGCCTAGCAGCTGAGGCATCAGAAAGTAAAGCTGAGTCAGCTTCTGGGCACCCCAAGATGATTTCTCCTGGAGACAGTGAAGGTGCCAAACCCCACCACTGTGTGAGCTGAAGCTCTTTGCCCTGGCTTCTGTCCTAGTCTCAGGGTGGCCTACCTTGGGGTTTCCTCTCAGCCATTCCCTGTGTTTGTGTGTCCCTGTGTCCCAGGGCTTTGCCCCTGCCCCAGCAGGGGATCCTCTGTCATCATTGGATCCTTAGTGTGCCCCCAAACAGTCCCGGTGCCTGTGTGTCAGTGACATCAGCACATGCTCACTGTACCCCTTTTCTGTGGGGAGGGAAGCCCTTGATTTCACCCTTCCTTACTGTGGATGGCAGTCCCTGCCTTCCTCTCGGCCCCAAAAGTCCGTGTGTGCCTGTCCCACTGCTGCCCCACCCCGCTCGGCGTCTGGTTTCCTGCTGCCACCTGCCACCACCTTAAGAACAAGGAGGGGGCTAGGGGGACTGATCCCAAGGGCTCAATAGGAAGTAAATGTCTAGAAAAGAACGATGGGAATAGATGTACCAATATGTTGGATACAATTGATGTGTGGGTTGTAAGAAGAATTGTAAGAACCCTCAGTAAGATTATCTTGGAAAAAAACCCAAAAACGAACGAGGTGGACTGCCCCTCTCCCCTGCAGTGCCCTTCCGGATCAGAGCGCTCCAGTTGCATCAACGCACAGTGTTAGCAGCGCGGCCACCCCCGACCGCATACGCTTCCCCAGAGGGAGGGCCATTCGAAGCACTTTCCACGGCCAGCCCCGGGAGCGGCGGACAGCCACGTACAACGGCCCGCCAGCCTCGCCCAGTCTGTCCCACGAAGCCACACCCTTGTCCCAGACTCGCAGCCGGGGTTCCACGAATCTTTTTAGTAAACTCACTTCAAAACTAACCAGGAGGTAAGTGCTGAGTGCTGACAGGGTACAGACCGCTTATAGGAAGAGCTGTGGGGCGGGGAGAGTGGGGGCACCTGCTGGCAGCATCCTAGCCTGTGCTGCTTGTTCTGTGTGGTATCCTTTCTGTCCTTGAGACTAGGGAAGAGGCAGGGTCTCCGCAGGGTGGGGACACACTGGCTCTGGGGGATGGATCAGGGTTCCGGGTTCAGTGGTCACTCGTGGCAGGGACCCACCCCCAGTTGAGGGAGGCTGCACGGAACCTGGCCCCCAGCATCCCATGGAGCAGGGGATCTCAGAGCTTGGTACCTCCAAAAATTTTCCTGCCAGCAGGGCAGGATGAGGAGAACCTGGCGTATTCTCAGAGGACAACGATGTGTGAGCAGACTAGACTAAGGGCCCATGGCGACTTTGACCAAGGAGGACTTCTTTCTATCACTATGCCAAAGGGTCCAGGGGTCTCAAAACATCCGGTGCTTCAGGAGGAAATAGAAAGATAACCACTTTGCCCCATAAGCACCTGCCCTACCACTGGGAGACCTAAGGCCTCATCCCTTCCATTATTGCCTCAGCCCTGTACACCAGACTGGGCAGATGAGTAACCTGGCCTAGGGGGCCCCACCTGCACCCAAGCAGAGCTGTATGGAGTACAGTGTCCCCCATATCCCTGCTCCTTCTTCAGAGATGAGGCTGAAATGGAATCTGCCGCGGAAATGAGGCCCCCGGTAGGCCCCAACCTCCACCTCAAGCCCTTTACCCTGCTCTGTGGTCAGCTATCTAACTATACCTCACACATCATGCAATCCTGGACTTGTTTCATGGTCTCCTGTGCTTGAACTTGGTCGTCTTAGTACAATCACTGACAGGTGTAGGCCACCTGCCGTGGACCGAGGGTTTCACCTGTAGCAGCTCCTTGTGGCCATAGATGACTCAAAGAGACTTGAAATCTCACATGACAAAGAAGCTGAGCTTGTCAGCCTCCAGAGGAGACCATGGCTTGAGCCCCCACCATGCTCAGCACCTGCTTCCTTAGACCATCACCCCCCTCACCCAGGACCCTCACCTCACCATGCTCCCTGCCAAGGTTACTTTGAGTTGGAATCCCCTTGACAGCAGTGGGTGTGGGTTTTCTGGTGTATGTCTGGTTCTGAGGAATGCATTTAATTGATCCATGGCTAATGTCAATGTTTGCTTCTAAATATTTTCTTACAAGTAGAGATATTCTGACATTTCTACTTAAAAGATCACATATTCATGTAGTGACCTAATACTCTGACTGTTCAACACAGTATCCCTGTGTGTGAAGCATTGTCCATCCACCAAACGGGTCCTAGTTTAGTGGTGGTTTTTCTTTCTCTCTGTAATTGACTAGAATTTCTACTTAACTTGTGCCAGTTATTTTTTGTTAATTTATTTTTTTTGGCTTAATTTCTTTTAGAAACATGTCATTCAGGTTTATCAAAAGGTAGGATTTATATGTGCACATATTTTATCCAATCCTCACCCCCAAATGACTCCTGCAATTAACATCAGGTCTGGCTTTCTAGCCTTGTATGGTTTTTTCCTTAAAAACTAAACCTCCTGCTGAGAACTAAATGCTTATTTCTTTGAAAGGCACGTTTGGACAGAAGTGCCCTAACTCTGAAGGGCGTTTAGAGGGATGTGGCCTCTCGGCCCGCCTGCGCATGCTCTGTGCATTTCCTCTCCGGTAGAATTATTTAGCATCAAAATAATTCTGTCTCCATACTAATGACACTTGGCATGCTCCTGTGTGAAGAAGGGGGTGTTTAGTGACCTTATGTGCTATGAATGCCCATCCACAGCCTGGGAGAAGGTAAGTGGGCATATTTTGGTCACTTCTGTCACCGAGCACTGAATTGGCACGGGGCTTTGAAATGCCAGTGTAAGATGCACAAAAGTCAAGCCTGCGCCCTTATCTGGTCTGGTGTCCTTGGAAACAGAGGTGTGGGCAGCTGCCACGGCCACAGCAATCACCTTGGCAGAGGCCAGGGCCACAGCACAGATGTCTGCAGGGCTCTCTGACCATCGGAGAGGGACTGGCCACTATTTCACCTCAACTCTTGTCCTAAGCCTTACTCATTCAGAGGGGCCACAAATGTTGTTCTGTCTTAGAATTTGCCGCCAAGGGGGCCATGCACAGCTGTGCCTCCTGCCTGTCCTCAGAGGACAGGCCACCTCGGGGCCACATCCTCCCTGATGCACATGCGCCCAGGGGCTCACTGATTGCCCAGGGGCCACATTTCTCCTTGGACAGAGTTTTGTCACTGACTAGAATATTGCCGATGGGACTTCCCCTTTCCTCAGAAAAGCCAACACAGTGCTCGTGGCCTGAGAGCGGCCTGAGAGCATCCGGCAGCCGAGCAGCTCGCAAGTGCGTGTGTGTGCATGTGTGTATTCCAGTACTGCTATGTAAGATCTCTTTTCTCTTTCCCACTTTTGCGTTCTTTCCATTGAGGCTTCCAACTGAATATGAGAGGAACGGGAGATATGAGGGCTCCAGGTGAGGGAAATGATTTCTGTTTTAAGTCTCTTAAAGTACATCATGCATGTCCATGGCACAGGGGCCCCATGTTCAGCTTGGTGCAGGTTCAGTATGGAGGTGGGGTGGCCGCTCCCCAGTTGGCCACATGAGGGCACTCCCACTACAGGTTTCATGTTTAAATGACTTGCTTTTCAGGGTGCTGATTATCTGGTTTAGGGTCACCATGCAGGTTTAGGGCTCATCGAGCCCATAGTTCTATGCCCCGTCCACTGTGCTCCCCCCACAGCAGTCACTGCTTGGCTGTGTTAGCCCCTTGAACTTCTCAAGCCCCGCTCCACATCCCACCCTCCCACTCCCACTCCCACTCTGGCCTGGGTCAACGTGATGGTTCCAGTAGGATGGTCCTCTGGTCCTCTGCATCAAAATGTGTAAAGGCAGGGATGTACCTGGTTGGGTGGTGGCGGTGGCTGGGGGGTGGGGTGCATGCGCTCACACATATAGAGCCCTCCTGGAACAGCCAGGCCCATCCCTGCCACCCGCCCACAGCCATTGTCTCAGGCACCAGCTTGCTGGAGAACCACTCCCTCACTGTCCTGGACCCTTCAACCACCACCACCCTTGCCTTCCAAGCTGCCTTCTCTCCCTGCCACACAGGCCCCAGATCCGGGTCCCTGTTACACACAGAGAACAAAAACAAACCCCTGCCACTGAGTCCGTTCCCACTCAGAACAGCCACTTGGCGCAGGAAGCTTCTAGTCAGTGCTGGCAGGGCAGGGAGAGCTGGGTGCCAGGGAGGGTTCAGCATTCTTATCCTGGGTGTGGATGCTCCGCCCCCACAGAGGTGCCTGCACACGCAAGGGATGAGAGCTGTTCGTGGCGAGACAGTGCTTAAATGCCAAGGAGCTGTTCCCATGGTGCTAGGCCTCCACCTGCCTTCTGTGGGCCATGCCCAGGTGTGCCCTTAATCAGCCTCAGAGCCTGACAGTCGGCTTGTGTCGCTGGGGTAGAAATGGGCCTGCATGGAGCAGAGAGGATAGGCGCCGCCTAGCTGCTACACCCACAGCAGCTGTTGGAGCCGAGAATGTTGGGGCACAGGTGCAGTGTGGGCTATGCTGAGCTGCACTACAAGCCCCCTGTAAAGGGGCAGTTCGATGGTGCCCCAGCCTAGCCCCTGTGAGTGACCCCGTACCCTGGCTCGGCCTGTCTGCTCATCATCTCCTGCAGGAGGCTCCAGCCCTCTTGTCCCTTCAGGAATTCTATCTAGCAAATCATGTTTGGAGTTGTAATAAAGGCAAGCTGCCTGGTGGCGCTTTTCGAGCCTGGTTTACAGATGTGGGAGGGAGAAGGTTGGAGGGTGCCTTCTTCCAGTGGGGTGTGTAGTGGGCCAGCAGCAGTGGGTTGCTGCACCAACTCCGGCTGGTGTGCTGTGCACCTAACACTCACCCTGCCTTGTGCATTCCAGTCGCAATGTGTCTGCCGAGCAGAAGGATGAGAACAAAGATGCCAAGCCCCGCTCACTGCGCTTCACCTGGAGCATGAAGACCACGAGCTCCCTGGACCCTGGGGACATGATGCGGGAGATCCGCAAGGTCCTGGATGCCAACAGCTGTGACTATGAGCAGAGGGAGCGCTTCCTCCTGCTCTGTGTGCACGGCGACGGGCACGCCGAGAGCCTGGTGCAGTGGGAGATGGAGGTGTGCAAGCTGCCCAGACTCTCTCTCAATGGCGTTCGGTTCAAGCGGATATCAGGCACATCCATCGCTTTTAAAAATATCGCTTCCAAGATTGCCAACGAGCTCAAGCTGTAGCTCTGTCATTACGGTATAAATTACGCAGCCGTTTCAAGTGTTTTCCAGAACACGGAGACGTATTTAGAACCCTCTTTAGGCAATAACGTCTGCATCTTCTAAATCATGATATTAAAGTCTGAGAATGCGCGCACGCCCGGGAGCAAGAGCTGGCCTTTTTTCTGTCCACGTACACACTACATGAGAGATGCGTGACGCCCGAACAGGTCTCCATCACACCCCTCCTGCCCTAGGGGTGCGTGCCTGGGACGCAGCTGGGTCCGGTCCCTCAATGGGAGATCATTTGGTGCTAAAACGTTGACATTGCCAAGGAGAAAAATACTGAATTAACTACATATTAACCTTCAGTCTTGTGGTTAATTAATAGAGGTTTACAGTTCATGACTGTGGTTTTGTGTTTGCTGTTTCGTGGGTTTTTAGTGCAAAAGGTTTAAATTTCTAGTTGTGAACATTGCTCGTGTGTGTTTTTCTAAGTAGATTACAAGACAATTAAAAATTCACTTTTTCTCAGTAAAATCTTGCATTGTCTCCTGATGCTCTATTTGAGGCGAAGATTCAGGCAGTCACTAAAGACACTCCTTGCTTTGCCCTCTCCGGCCATCCCACCCACCCAGTTAAAGAGCAGAGGAAATGAGGGTGAGGGCCTGGGGCCACGCTGTCAGCATTAGATGAGACTGGGAGCACCCCTCCCCTAGGTCAGCCACACCCGCTTGCTGACTGCCGCAGAATGCCTCAGCTGTGGCTCCCAGTTGTTCGCCATGAAGCCTATAATTTTCCTTTCATGTACTCTGATTCAGTGCTTAGTCAGACCTCAGGCTCAGGCCCAGCGCATGCCTGGTTGCTGCGGAGGCTGTTGAGCCCAGCAGAGAGACCTGTAGTCTCTCGAGGACGGGTCACGTTGGCTGCTCGACTGTTTCAGATCCTCAGAGTACGAGATGCTGGACATATGCTCACCCGTTCTTTCCACGTGCCCATTGGGTCTCAGTGGGCGGGACGCTGCTGCTTATGTGGGACCCACCCTCTGGGAGTTTATGTCCTAGCAGGGTGGCAGTCAGTAGTGTATAGATGTTTGGGTGTGGAGGGGAGCACAGGGGAAGTGCTTCTGGGAGGGCACGCAGAAGCTTTTCAGTAGTGCTGGGGCCTGGGGCTCAGAAATGGAGAGCTGCAGGGCTTTCAGAAAGAAGCAAGGCTGGCCCAGGGTCTGTTCGGATGGGATTGCTTGGCAGCTGAGCAGTGACGTAGGCAACCTCAGTCTGTGTGCTGAGCCAAGAGCCCGAGAATCCAGCTGGACGCAGGGCCCAGAGGTGTGCAGGTTGTACCACCCTGTGTGCCCAAAGAGAGGAAGGCTTCACCTGTTACGAAGACCAAAGAGTACAGTTCGGTATGGGTTATACACCTCAACCTAAATAAAACCCCGCAATGGGGTGAGTTTCCTCACAACAGGGGGAAGAGACACAAGTTGTCGCCTCCTTCTGGGATCCATGGAGTCAAGAAATCACATGGGTCACTGATGGTGAAGGAGCACATGACCCAAGCCATGGTATTTTCAGTCAACTTCGTGCGTGTGCAAGTTGAACCGAGGCCACCCAGAAACTGCCTGCCGCATTTGGATTACACTTGCGGCCAAGAATATTGAAAGTACCTTGGACTGCTAAAAGGATGAGCCAGTCTGCCTTGGCAGAATGTTCCTTAAGAGTTGAGGATGGCCAGGCTTCACGTCACTAAGTGTGAACGTGTTATCAGGACAGAACCGTCTCTCAAGAAGGACATCATAGCATGCTTGGCAGAGGGGCCAGGTAAAAAAAAGAAAGACCCTGAACCAGATGAGTTGACGCCAGGCAGCAACGATGGACTCAGACGTAGCAGCCAATCCGAGCAGTGTTTTATTCTGTTGTGGCTAGTGTTGCTATGAGTCAAAACTAACCACCACAGTGATGTGAGAGTGTGACCAGGAGACTGTCCCCTGGAGAGCCCTCCCCTTCCTGGCTGTCAGTACCCATTCAGCTGGGGGTGACGTTCTGCCCCCACTGGTGCTGCTGCACTGGTTTGTGAGGCATGTGGCCCTAGACCCCTCCTGTAGGCCCCTGCGTGGTCGCCGGGTGGGCAGCTGTGAGGCGTTCACCAATTGCTCCCACCCACCTTCAAGCACCAGAAGTTGGGGGCCTTTCAGAGAAGCAGCCACCCCTGCTGCAGTTGGATATTGCTGGCCCCCTTTAGGTGTGCCCAAATGCCACCTTCTGTCCCACAAGTCACCTGTGTCCTTCATGTCTCAGGAATCTGCCCGCTGCTGCCCACGTGGTCTTAGTGGCAGGCAGGTGCCACTTTTCTGAAGCCCACACCATGAGACATACCCACTCCCAGGGGGCCCTAGCCCTCTCTCCCAACTGTCTTCTTGGGACTGGTGTTTGTATTTGTTTTGTTTTTTTTTTGTGTGTTTGTATTTGTATCATGAGTGTAGAGAGGCAAACTATTCGAGGACAGGAGAATTCCACTACTACTTTTAGTTCAATTTTCCACAAATGGTTTGAAACCCCTTCTCTGAGAAAGATGGCCACACCTTTCCTCTTTTGTGCCCGTGGACAGTTTGGCCTCTGAGGGGGGCTGGGGCACCTGCCAGGTGGTGGGTGCTAGTTTTATTACCCAGGGCTGACTGCTTCCTGCTGGTGCCAGGAGCCCAAGGGTGGTGTGGGAGGGACGCTTTTAAAAGAAGAGCCGCAGTCTCTGCGTGTCTCCTTGCTTTGTAACTGGTGCTGCAGGCCCTTCACCTGTTCGGTGGTGTCTGGCCTTCGGGCTGGGGGGTGGGGGGGCGGAGTGGGCAGCATGTTGCCTGTAGGTGAGCCTCTTAGGTGCCCTCAGCCCCAGGGAACTCAGGACAGAATTTGTAAGCGGCGGTTTATAAGCAGTTCTTGGTGTCCAGCTGTGAAAAACAGGGGCTTTGTCCCCTCAGAGGTATCAAGCCAGGGGCCAGACAGGTGTGGAGCACTTGTCCCCACATCATTGTCTTTGGGAATCCGAGTGGTCTGAGCAAGGTGTCAGTGCCTGTCTCCATCCCAGACAACCCTAGGGTGGGCAGGGATGAGGGGGCAGATGCCTAAGTCTCGGCGAGAGGAAGCCAGCTCCTGGGAGCATAACTGGTCCTGGAGCGGATGGCACTGGGTGGTCCCCAGAGCCAAGAAGTGAGCCTGAGCCCCCAAGGCAGACTTCCCAACAGACACCAGGAATTGCAGCAATGGCCACCATGCCCTGTAGTACCCGGTATGGTGGGGGTGCTTCACAAAGCAGAATAAAATGATAATAGAATTGTTCCGGGAGCTTTTTGAAGCCCATATTTATTTTGGTGTTTCCTAGTGGGCAAGGGATAGCTAGAAGGGGATTTGGGTCAGAATTGCCCAGAGTCCCATGGTCCCCCACCCCCAGGCAGCAGCAAGGGTACATACTATGGCTGCCTCACTTCTCTCCAGCAGTCCCCTGGCCTGCCCTGTGCAGACCCCACAGGCCAGCATCCGCACCCACATCCACAGTGATGCAGCAACTCTTCCCCTGAGGCCTCTTCGGGCAGGGCTGTGGCAGGGTGTGCACAGGAAGGGACCCTGTCCTCAGGAGCATGGGGCAGGCCCACACAGGCGCTCTCTTGAGACTGGTGCTGTCAGTGTCACCCTGTTTGGGGTTGACATGTGATGTACTATTTGTAGCAGGGCTGATAGGTTACAAACTGCATGGTCTAAGGCTGTCTTTGCCGAGGGCTGGATAAGTGGGGGTTCCGTGGGCATCAGAAGCGATGACAAGTCATGTGACTCTCCTCACCACCACCCCACACACACTTCTCCCACATCTGACAGTCTCATCAGCCAGTCTCCTGAGTCCACCTCTGCCCCTGGCTGCCCCTAGGACTGGGCAGAGGTCTTCTGCAGACCAGCCTTCTAAGCACTTGGTGTGGGATGAGGGTCTCATTGGGTAGGACCCCTCCCTGGTATGAGGCTTTTGGGGTGACATTGTCCCCGTTAGCTTCCCATGTCTGGTATGCCTGTTTATGAACCCTGTGCTTGTCCTGGGGGAACCCAGCAAAGCCCCTTTTTTGTCACAAGGAGAAGAGGGTCACAGTCACACCCGAAAATGGCCACAGGGAGCCCATTCCACTGGGGCAGGTCAGCTGCTCTGAGAGAGGGAGGAGCCACCCAGTGGGTGCCCAGGGCAAGCATCCTCAGGGAGAAGGGTCAAGTGGGGAGGATGATTCAGGGAGCAACCGCATGTTAGCACCAGGCCACAGGGTCCAGGCCCACCCAGTCTGCCATATTTCTGCCTTCCTGCCACCCCTGCAGCCATCACCCTCCCCACCCTAGGACAAAGAAGTGTCACAAGGCTGAGCCAGTAGGACAACTCCCTGCTGCTCCCAGGGACTGGAGTGGCCCTGAAACCCAGGTTGGTGCTGGTGGGAGGGGTCAGTGTTCTTCCCCGAGTGCCACCTGACATGTTGACTTTTGCTGGGGGCATTGATGATCAGGTCTGATGGCTGTTCTGTACAAACGTCTTTCTGGAAGAGCCACCTGCCCACATCTGGGCAGGTGGGTTGGGGTAATAGGACCCATAGAGAATAAAGTCCAGGATTGGCCACCATTTTGCCCAAGGCAGGTCCTCCCTCCTGAGGTGTACCACTGGGCCACCATTGCTAACCCCTCCTCGCCTCCTCCCCCACGTTACCACAGGGCTGGTAGGTGCAGGCACTGGTCCTCTCACTGGAGCAGGTTCCTACCCCCTTGTTTGTGCTGAGGGAGTCCCCCCCATGTGCCAGGCAGCTGAATGGAGTCAGGGTGCCCTGTCCACCTTTCCTATGGGGCACCCCTGGGAGTATCAGGGAAGCTGACTCCAGTCACCACAAGACCACACCTAGCTGCAAGGGAGTCTTGACAGTCTGGCAACTGAGTGCCCACCGTTTGTAGATGGGCACAGGCTTATAATCTGTTGCTTCCCATCTTCCCAGACTCCTCAGGTCAGCGCCTGGCATTGGCCTTTGCTTAGAGTGGGGAGAGGAGGGCTGTGGGGGCCATGGGACACCGGGCCTTTGTGTCCCGTCCACAGGGAAAGGCCCATGGGTGGCACAAGTGGTTTGCACTCAGCCACCAATCTGAGGCCAGTCCCTGGCAGTGGAGTGACATAACGGAGGAAGACCCTCAGATAGAGTGACAGTGGCTGCAAGGGGGCTCCAAACAGCAAGGGTTGTGAGGGTGCTGCAGGGCCGGCCAGTGCTTCCTCCTGCTGTGCCACCAGCAACCTGTGCCGCAGAAGACCTGCTGAAGGGCTTCTGATGGGTGGAGGAAACCCTTGTGGGGTAGTCCCTGGGAGCCACGTGCAATTGTAGAGAAAAGGAGACACGGCACAGGACTGACCTCCGATCTTGGGAGAGGAGCCTTGAGCTTACTTCCCATGAGGTTTTATAGTAATGGGCTTGCAAGCCTCCTGTTAGTACATGACGATGAACCGCAATGTGTTAATCTTGACTGTCCTGAGCCCTCTAGGGGAACACTTCAAAGGAAGTGTCTGGCAGGCAAAGAACAAATGGTGCCAGTCGCTCTTAAAAGGTAAAAGACAGAGTCGTATGAGTCCCTAATAAAATGACTTAAAAAAAAAGAGTAAAAGACAAAGGCAGCAGATATTTTTATAGATGGGGATCCTCTAACTGTGCAGTCAGCATCTGCGGGCGACAGCTATTATTTTATGGAAGGTAGGTGTGAAGAAACATTCTTCCTGAAGAAAAATGCATTTGCCTCTATTATCGGAACTGTACAGGTTTTCCTCACACTAGTGCTGGTTTTCCAAGCCCTGTGGTCAGGAGTGTAGATATTGGGCCACATACACTTTCTACCAGGTTCTCAGTTTCCCACAGTGGCCCACATTCACACAGGGGTCCCAAGAGAGTTGGCAGCATTTTTTTTCTCTCACAAATGCCTCTGTGCCTGTGCACCCACCCTTCTCACCCCCAGCTGACCTCTCCCGCCTAGATGAGTTCCCTGTGGGCACACGGGCCCCTCGCCTCCGTCCCTCCCCATGGTGGGGGGAGTTCAGAAGTTGGGCCAAGAACATGCATGCACAGGCACACTGCCCTGCCGGCGACAGCAGGCAGCGGCACACCCACGTGTGGAGTTCTAGAACGTTAGGAAGGTCACGGCAGAGAGGGCTTGAGCTTTTCGGCCGGGGCCCTTCCCTTTGAACCCTCAAGCCTCAGTTGTCCCTCTCTTGGAGGGAATTCTCCCTGCTGCACAGAAGGGGCTTGGTGACAAGGCTCTGCTGCTGCTGCCCCCACAGATGGTGAGACAGAAGCGCTTGTTTGGTCTGCACACCTTGACTGAGCTCGAGACCTCTGGCATATGTGACACGTGGTCCGTGTTCTGCGTGGCACAGAGCAGCCTGTCCCACCACCACAGCTGCCCACGGCTTGTGGGCCTCTTCCAGGTGTGTTCTGAGCCAGTGCTCTGGGTACCTGGTATCTCGTGCCTGGCTTTTCAAGCACAGCACAGCAGTCACAGTGTCCTTGGATGTGCACAGGGCCCCTGGGGAGGGTCTGTTACCCAGCTGCATTGCTTCTCACTGGCGGTGGGACAAGGCATGTCTGGAGACTGGCTGTCACAAGATGGGGGTACTGCTGGCATGGGGAGTGTAGAGGCCTCAGGGATGCTGCTAAACGCCTGCAGTGCCTGGCATGCCACACCACCTCCACAGACCCACCCAGCCCTGTAAGGGAGTGCGCCCAAGTGGCCACACTGCCCCCACAGATCTGCACCCCATCAGGATGGTGAATGACCAAGCTCAACTTTACCAATAGCTTGGGTGTCTGCCCACCCATGCCCCTTCAGAGAAGAGCATGCTAGAAAGTCCCTGTGCCCAGCTTGGCCTTGTTCTAGCAAGGCCCGGTCACTGAGAGTGAGTGAGGCCCTCCATCCCCTGGCATCGGGTCCCCTTCTTGCCCAACTCGGAGCTAAAGACACCCCACTCCTATAGTACTCAAGACCCTGACTAGGGGACTCATTTCTCCCAGGGGCACACCCAACCCAGGCCGCTGCTTCCGGCCCAGGTAGAGCTTTCTGGGGCCCAGGAGGGCCTTTGAGCTGCAGCCCTACTGCAGGAGCTGAAGTGAAGAGGGTCGCTGGCTGGCTGGCAGGGACCCAGGTGCCAGAAGACCCTTTTCCTGGTGGTGTCTATCCTGGCAGGGTGCTATGGAGATGCCCTCTTGCATGCAAAGCACTGTGAATAGGAGAAAGGCCATTTCTTCACCAGGAACTGACCTGTCTGCAGGTCCTGGGGGCTGCTGCCCAACTGTAGAGGGTGCCCTGGGACAGGTGGGTAGACAAGCCGAATAGACTTCTAACCCAGCACCCAAAGGGACACAAGACACTCTCTGGCAGGAGTGGCCCCTCTAGCCCCAGTGGGAGCAAGGACCTCCCTGTGACCCTTCCAGACAGCCCTGCCCTCACCCAGTCTTTGATGGGTGCCCACCCTGCAGAGGGGCAAGCCAGAGCAGAGCCCAGTCAGGAGGCCCACCCTACAGCTGGGCCAGCCTCAACCCTCACCCGGGCCAAGGTGACAGGGTAGATAAGCTCAGAGTCTTGCAGGCCACAGGAGGGAGGAGTATGGATGGGGCGTGAAGGGACCCTGAGGCTGGGGTGGGTGCAGAACCTTCCACAGGCAGCAGGTGGCAGTGTGGCTTGCCCCTAACCTCTGGTGCCACGTAAGAACCTGGGGAGGGCTAAGGAGCCCCACCCGGGGATTGTAAGGTTGGGAGAGCCCTGGGGGCCGGGGGAGTTCCTAGAGACCTGGGGGTGGCAGCAAAGAGCAGGCTGGCTGACAACAACAGGGTTGTATAGTGGTTATTAGAGGTGGGGAGGTTGGAAGAAATCAGGTCACAGCCCTTCACACCTCCCCCACTCAGCGGCGGTGGGGGGAGACCACTGGGAGAAGGAAGCAGGCCAAAACCCTAGTTTATTTCAGCATCAGCGACACCTTAGCCATCCAAAAATAAACTCTACAACAGGCCACACAGGAGTCTAGGGCAGGGCTAAGGGCTGGGCCACCAGCGCGGCAGGGATGCAAGCCCCCCAATAAGTGGCAGCGGCTCACTTCTGGGCGGGCATCAGGTCGTCGATGGGCTGGCCCTGTTCCAGCCGCTGCTCCATGTCGATGAGCAGCTTCACGCCGTCCACCACCATCTGCACCAGCTCCACCTCTGAGAAGCCCAGCCGGTCGGCATTGGAGACGTCAAAGACCCCGCCCACGGCAGCCGTGTCCACACCGCCTGCAGACACCAGACACTGACTCTCAGTCCCAGCAGGGCGTGGCCGTGGCCCCCTGGCTCCCACCACTCACCTGTGCCCCGCTTCTGCAGCCGCAGCCGCTTGAGCACCTCGGAGAACTTCTCGTGCTTGCCCAGGTGGGGTAGCTTAATATGCACTCCAGCCCGAAGCCCGGTGCCCAGGTTGGACGGGCAAGTGAGCACGTAGCCAAGGTGAGGATTCCACATGAACTCGTAGTTTTTGGACTTGAAGAGTGTCTCGATCTGGGGAAGGAGGGGGCAGAGGAGAGGGGAGGTAACCCTAAGCAACCACCACAGAGCAGGAGCCTGCATCCCACCCCCACCGTCCCACCCTCTGCGCTGTGGGCCAGGACTGACCTGGGTGAGGCCAGTGCAGAAACGGGTGAAGACCTCCTTCATGTTCCCCCCCTTCTGCATGGAGATGACCCGCAGGTGGTCCTCCTCGTTGATCCACACCAGGAAGGTC